GGCATAGCCGGCCTTTATCCCCCTGCACCTGGTAGGGGCCATTAACCGCTAAAGGTAAGTGGTCTTCATTCGTCATGGCCAGAATTTCATTTGAAAGTCAATATTCATTTGGTCCTACCCACTTTGAAGGGTGCTGGGCATTACTGTCCATTTGTTACATGCTACACCAGAGATTCTGCTCCTGGAGGGCCAACGTCTGGCAGAGTTTAGCACCAACTTGCTTCAACACACCTGCCTGGACGTATCTAGTAATTTTATAATGACCTCAAGAGGATAGTTCACCCAATTGTTCCAAACCTATATGAGTTTCTTTCTTCTGTTGAGCATAAAAGAAGATATTTTGAAAAATATGGGTAACCAAAAAGTTGTTGGGCCCCACTGACTTCCATAGTATGGAAAAACAATACTATGGAAGTCAATGGGGACCAGAAACTGTTTGGTAAGAAAGAAAATACTAAAGGTTTGGAATGGCATGAACGTAAGTAAATGATGACAAAACTTTGGGTGAACTATTCCTTTTAACTAGGGCTGGTGCCAAACTCCAGGAGCACAATTGGACGCACCTGTCCTTCACAAAGACATACATCACTGTCACTTTAATTTTGAATCGGAATGTGACAACGTTGCAGGTAAATTAATATGCTCAGCTCTTGCAGGTGTGTTCAAACCTGATTCTGGAGGTCCCTGCAGATTTTAGCTGTAACACACCTGCCTGGAAGTTTCTAGTGATTCTGAAGACCTCGTTTAGCAGGTTCATGTGTGATTCATTAACCTTGCTGAAAGGTGGCCCTCCAGAAGCAGGACTGGATACCCCTGAGCTACTGAGAAGGTTGTGGCAAATAAAACGCTTATTAACTCGTATCTTGCCTTGAGCACTCTGTGTAGCATTTTGTCAAAACCACATGAAAGTATGTAAATACATAGGGAATAGGAAATAGTCTTTTAGTGTATGAGGGAACAATTGACAACACAATTAACTACAAACCTACACTCAGAAAAAAAATGTACAAAAGCTGTCACTGGGGCGGTGGTACACTTTAAAAAGGTACACCTTTGTACCTTTTTTTTTTTTACCCCTGAAGTGTACATATTAGTACCTAAGTGAAAGGGTAACACCCCAGTGACAGCTTTTGTACCTTTTTTCTAAGCTTTCAGGATCATGTGATGATATATGGTAAAATTATTTCCATCAAGTGACCATTGTATGTATACTTTACTACCTCAATTATTTGGAACAAACTTCCCATAGTTTTGTCCCACTTCAAGGGCACACAGTTGCCTTTTAAAATTTGCCCATGACTTCCCAGAGCTCAAACAGAGGGCCATATGACTGATCATTAACATCTGAAACAAAACATGCAATACTTTGTGATAAGTGCTACACTGTAAAACAAAATCTGACATTTACAGTAAAATACCGGCAGCTGTGGTTTCCAGAGCTTCACTGTAAAAAATATGCTAGCAACATTTTAGGTTTTTCTTACTTTAAATTCACAATAAAATACCGTATTTCATTAACTGATGTAATGTTAATAAACCAACATATTGAAGTACTAACATCTGTTTTGAACCATTGTAATGCACTGATAACCACCAAAAACTGGTGATGATGAGAAAGTCACATGATGAACCAAGGCTCATCACAAACAGCATTTCTACGAGCTGAGGAGGGCAATACTTATATATAGAAGGTGCACACCGTGTCATTCACACAAACACTAAACCCCATCACGGTGACACACGATACTGAAATAATGCAATAAGCATTCATTTAACAACATTAGATGTAAGATTAAACCCGACACAACTGATAAGAAAAAACTAAGAAGAAACATGTTATTTCAACAAAAAAACATCAAATATGAAGTGTCATGCAGGGAATTCTGGGAGTGTCAATTTACGGTTTTTCACTGTAAATTAT